TCTCCCAAGCATGTGGGAAAATGTGTTACAGTCTGATGTAACCAAACTTTATTTGGAGTTAACCAGGGGCACTTGAAATCGCGTCAAGTGTAAGCTGACTCTCACTTAACATGAGTTTGAATGAGATTGGTTCACTCTGAACACAGCTGTATTCACAGGTATAAGAGGGTGGTGCACACATTTTAAAATGATTTATCTTGATCAGTTTTTTTATACGTATTGCAAAAAGCTGGCATCTCCACAGGGGTGTGTCGACTTATAATGCCCACTGTAACTGGCCGTCTGTATGTTTATCTGTTTGTCTGTCTGTTGAGTAGTCGCTCCTCTGCTCAATCACTCTCTTGCTCCCTTGTTCTCTCTACAATTGCTCTGTAACAAACCCTTCATTCTGGCAGCGGTTTGGACTGTGCCGATACCCTCCATTGTGCATGGCAGAGCCTTGTCAAAGCAGCGGTTGTTTACACACTGCTTAGAATAATAGGAGGGAGGAATTATACTGAACTGATTAATCAAGAGGAGACCTTGCACTTGTTAGACGACTTCTCCAGACATAGAATGGATGGTGATTTGCTTCGGAAAAGAAGGCAGGTGATTGGTGTTTGGCCAACACCATGGCCATGTTATAGGGCACAGACAGTAAATCCGTGTCAAATAGAGTTTTATTTTCAAGGGCAAAGTCAGATTATCACTGATAAGAGTTACTCAGGTAAATTATGAATGCATTTATTACCCCAAAGTTTGAAATAGCAATTAAAAACAGGGAACATTTAGATGGGACTAAGAATATAGACATGTATTTCAATGACACTCAGGGCTCTATTTTCTTCGATAGCGCATATGCATTCGGGCATAAAAATGGACACATCTTGCTTTTCGTGCCGGTGCAAGCCGTGTTTGGGAATTTGGAAGACTGCGCTGTGCCATGCTGGGCATCCGGCGGACCACGAGCGTTCTCTTTTGCACATACCCAGTGCATCTGACAATTTGGTGGCTGAATATAGACTCAACTTTTGCCGGAAGCAGGTCTAAGTTGTGGCGCAGGTGGTGTTTTTTTTATTGGGTCAAAAAGATTCATGTACTGTTCAGTGAGAAATAAAGGAAAATGGGGTAGGGTTTTGTGGAAAGTACTTGGAAATATATCATGTGGTGATTACATAGACTTAAAAGTTACATGTGCAATAAAATGGAGGTAAAGATCCCCAAGATCATTATTCTCGGGGTGCAGAATGAAAAACATATATAATATAGAGAATTTGCTGCTCGGCCTCTGATCTTGTCATGAATAATTGAGTGATCATAAGGATAAAGCTGTCCTGTGAAAAGTTACTGACGTGATACCTACTTCCCTGCATGCTTACGCTGCTGTTCGACTACATAAGTGATATTTGGGTTACATGGATGCCATGCCGATGCTAAAAGGAATCAGAGCTGGAGTAAAAAGAGCGTCTAATCTTTTCATCTGACATTTTTATTGAATGCGTCTTGGAGCAACCAAGGGCTCCTTTAAGATCCTGCCAGAGTCACTTAAGGAAATCAGAGTGGGGGCTTTGGGAGCCAGCAGGGGTTCATTAGAACCAGACTGGCCAGACTTCCTCTGCCAGGGAACTGAAACGGAGGAATACAGAAGGAGAGATGAATAAGGTAGCGACCAGACAGTGGGCAGAAAATGGTCTGAAAGACAGTAAGTAGGAAAGAGGGTGGTGAAACTAACCAAGTGCGGTAGGTAGGCTGAGAGTAAGACTGCGCGAAAGCAAAGAAAGGCACAGGAAGTGCTGCCATGCCAGTCTACCTTGACAGCTTGACACTACAAATCAAACTAAGAAATGAAGTTTCCTATAGGCACTTTAAAGCCTTATTCCTTTTCATTCTTTCTCTCATTTCCGCGAGAGCTTAAATAGAAACATAACTTTGGTTTTCCTCTCCTTTAGTAAGGTACCGCAGGTCCAAATGTGGGTCTCTCCTCTGTGTACAAAAGAATACAATGTCAATTGTTGATTGTTTTGTATTGAGTGGAACCAATGGAAAGCGTTTTTTTCTCCTTTTTGTGCTGAGGCTATTCATAGCATCCAGCCCTCTTTCTACTTAATATTTGCTGTATAGAAAAAGCATATGCGACTATGCGCTTATACTCATCCTCTGTAACCTTCCAGTGAACTCAACCAATGACAGCAACATTAAATGTCACTTCATTTCAATCATTCCATTTCTGTTGTCAAATACAAGTAACATTTCTTTATGGCTGCAGAGTGTCTAAAGGCACACTGCCGCAAACATGCTACACTGACCCCTAATGGAAGTTTACAATTATTATTAGTCTTTACAATTTTTCACAATTCAAAAAAATAAAACAAGGTATTAGACAGTAGAGTGTGATCGAAGAGACAATTTGCTGTTGGTCGAGAGGGCAGTTTGACAATTTCAGTTCACTTTGCTTTTGTGCTGGCTCCTCTCTTGTTTTTAAGCAACCTGCCCCACTGTTGGAAAGACGGTCAACAACCTGGCTCGGTCAGGTCCTGGAAGCTTGGATATGCTTGTGAAATATCATTTTACAGCTTTGTTCCCCAATCTGTCACAGCACAGTAAGCACCTTTGTGTGAGGATTAGTAAAGACTCATTCAGAGGAGGAAGAAATAGGGATGGCGTTCCTGAGTGCCTGGGACTTTGCACATCTCTGTAAAGGGGCTCTTGCTCAAAAATCTATATGGTGCCAAACGATCGAATGTTGTTTTCATACTTCTTTTTCTTAAACCCCTGATGAAAATATTGACCAGACTACCTGACTAAATTTCTTTCAACTTGAATCCGATTTGATGAGACAGTTTTTTTTTTTTATTGTTTCAGAATTACATTCTAAAAATTTTCAACACATCTTCCTCAATCTATCCACCTTGCTGTGCTTAACACGTCATAAACATTCAGCATCTCAACTCAAGAATAGGCAAGCAGGTTAATAACCAAATACTTTTCTCTCCCTTACATTCAAGTTCTTTATACTTTCCTACCTTCACTGAGCACCTGTACACATCCAACCCCGATGCTACAATACACATATTTTTTTTACTTAGCATCCTAAAATGATCAATGTTTATTTCAACAAAATTTAAAACATCATCAAGCATGATGTGATTTTGACTTTCAAGTGAGTGACAGTTCATTCGAATGTAGCTATTAATAGGCTTTGAATGCCTTTGCCTTCATCTAATAACAATAAGAATATTTTATATTATTCTTTGTTAATCGTTCATCCATATGCTGAACCGCTTTACCTCTCAGAATTAATTGTTGTTGTTATTATTAACTTGTTAAATTGCTTGACAGTAAATTGATAACTGTTGGAGGAGCCAGGAATATTAAAAAAAAAAAAAAAAACAAAAACCCTTATTCTGCCTTAAAGCAATCATAAATATCAAGACCATTCCTCCATTCATATTCAGTACCGCTTATCATGTTCAGGGTCACGGGCTCAAAAAGCAATCTCAATGGATATTTGAAGAAACACACTCACATTCACACCATCAATGATGGGCAACTGAAGCAACGCTGCCTGCACAGGCATGTGAAGCACTACAGTGACCAAATATAAAGACCTCCAAATGCAACCAACTCATAACACAAAGAAGACAATGACCTTGCTGCCGTTTTAATGCCTTCATTTTTATCTCCTTGGAAAAGGAAGTGAATGTCAGACATTACAGTATTGTGTTTCATATTACACCCGATCCACTTTGTGACATTGCACTGGACCGTTTTGAAATATATTTGAAAAGATGTATTTTTTCTCCCTGAGTGATTTGGCCTTTCATTCCACAAATAACCCGTTGGCTATTGCAGTGTCTGCCAACCTTCTATTGAGACAAGGCGTTCATTTTACATGAGAAAAATCTCATGGCACACTGGCAAAAAAAGTGTCACAAAAATATGAATACTGAAGTAATTATGATCTCGCCTCAGTTTATTCACAAACAGTGTGAAATCTGTGCCTGTTTAATTGAACACAAAGCTTTCGTACTCGCGGGAAGTCACGACTTACTCTCTCGAATGAATGACAATTGGTCGATACGCACCTACTGCTATCTAATTGGGGTCTTGGATCTTATTCTGTTTGGGTTGTTCAATTGGCTCTGAGACAACTCTTGACTGAATATGATACAACTTTATTTATATATCACATTTCACAACAGCTGCAGCTCCATATAACATAAAATAACGATAATCTAACTACGATGACTGTGAAAATAAAACATTGAAACACAAGTTGATGATACGAACAAAGTAGACAGCAGAAAACAATCTCAGTCTTGTTGGGTCGAAAGCTAAAGAATAAAGATGCGTCGTCAAATGAGTTTTAAAAATGGAGAGAGAGGGAGCGTGTCTAACATTTAAGGGAAGGTCCTTCCAGAGGGAAGGACTGGCAACAGAAACGGCTCGATCCCCTCTGAAGCTCCATTTAGTCCTCGGCACCTCCAGTAGCGTCCGGTCCGCAGACCTGAGGCACTAGCCAGGTGTGTTGGGGTGGATGAGCTCAGAGAGGTAAGCCGGGGTGAGACCATTTAAAGATTTGAAAACAAAGCGAAATATCTTAAAATGAACTTTTAATTGTACTGGGACCCAGTGAAGAATGGGCAAAACTGTCTCCTTTTATTTGCTGAAAATTCTGAAAAACATAATTTCTGCTCCACTTCACAATTGTGCTAGTTTGTTTTAGTCCATCACCTAAAATCCCCCCACAACCGCACCTCCAAAATTGAAGATTTTAGTTATAAGGTGGAAAATGGGGAAAAGTTCAAGGGGTATGTATACTTTTTCAATGCACTGTACTTATCCCATCCATTTTTCTCTTGTTTTACTTTGACCAGAAAAGTTTTTTCTTTTCATCACTGCCATTTGCTATTGGCTACAACGTCTGCCTCTTTAATTTGAGAAAAAGCAATAGGTGACGATTACCATGACCTGGATGACATAAGTAGATGATATATATTGACTGCTCCTCTCTCTCACAGATCAATCGAGCTCCAAGCTTTGGAACAGATCAGAAGATCGATTTTGATGTCAAGAGAGGAGTTTTGCTCAACGCTCTGAAACTGCTCAACATTAGGTAATGTTCTTGAGTTCAATTTAGAGATCCGTTATGCTTCAAGTGTAAAGCAAACTTCCAATCTTTCTTTGGGGGCGAGGTTCAATTGTCTGGTGTTCTTTATTTCACGAAACAATTTGCTCTGACGTTCGTGTACAATACGGTTCAACTCGCTCACACTAATCACACAGAGATAATATCATCCTGGAAATTTGGGGTGCTTTCAGCTCGAGACAAAAGTGACATTATTTATTGTATTTATACCTCGGGTGAGAACAATGAATGATAAGTGCCAGGATACAAAGTTGTGCCTTTGATTTTGTGTTCCTTGAGTGCTTCTAAACAGTGTGCATTTGTTTACAGTTTGCACTAGTATGCTCTCTTCATACTGAGTAAAAACTTAATATGACCCCCCCCGCATTTGTACACTCATTTAGATTGTGCATGCTTCAATGTTTGTTGTTCACCTTAATGTTTTTGAAAGCTTGATACTGTATTGTCACTGTGGGGTGGGAATCTTTTCAACTTACATTCACAATGATGGATAACTTGGAGTCTTTATTTAATTTTTGGAATGTGTGAGAAAACCAAAGTACCCGGACATAAGCTCACATGGGCATAGGGAGACACAAAAAAGTCCAAGCTGTGATTCAAACCCAGAATGTGCTAACCACATGCAGCACCAGGCTGCTTTTCTCCCATTCCACGTTCCAATGTTTAAGAATAACAATTGTTAAATTGTTTGATTATTTTCCCCATTCTCAATTGAGGAAGTTCCCTTCTATTGTTCTGGTCATGAACTTGCCCACAAATTGATCTTTGCACACTTGACTTTCTCCAGCTCCAAAGTCACACACAAACACAATTAATTAATTGCATGCGGAATAGATCTAGTAGGGTCAGCTTTAGTGAGCTTTGCAAAAATCCCACAGGATGAAAAAAAAAAAAATCACTTTCTCCCATTGGCTCAGCAGGTCAAAAGAAATGTCTCGTCAAAAAGGTCTCAAAAGCAAAATCTCATGATTGACGTTGCCGCTGTTCTTACAGTACAGATTTAACACAGATTATTTTGATTATTTCATGACAAATGAATTGCAGGACGCAATAAATGTGGTGGTGGTGGTGAAAGGGCTCTTCTTCATGTTCATGCTGAAGTGACCATGTTCTTTGTTCTATTCTCCCTCGCTCGCTCGATCCTCCCTTATATCGTAAAGGCTTCACTTCTCCCAAAGGAGGGCTTGTGGTCCCCGAGTCCGCTCGCAACACCAACTGTATTAACGTGGGATCAATTCAGACCCGGCCGGGCATGGTCATTGATAAACCTCTGTCCCCACCCTAACGGCACTCAATATCCAATTTGAAGGGCCAGCGATTGACTAAAATGAATTGCCCTTTCTCCAGACAAGCAACGGCCTACTTGTATTAGAAGTCTGCTCATGTTCATCTTCTGTTAGTGGGTTTGTTTGTGTCTCTGCGACATATTTGATTGCAGCGTTCGATATATGGCACGGAGTTATTTTTGGTTTCGAGCATCTCAATTGCATTACCATAACAAGGCAAATGAGGGTTTTGAAAATGCTGTCACGTGTGGAGTCATGCAAAATATCATAAAATCGACCCCGGACATACCCGACGAGCGTGGATCTAATGATTAACTCTGTATGTGCTAATTTGCGTGAGTTTTGTCTAGCTTTATGGTGTCACAGCAAGAGGACCATATGTAAGAAGAGTAATAAGAGTCATTATTTGAGTGGATTTAATTTGGCCTTCCACTGTGTTTTTGGACATACAGTTTACTTTGGCAGTGGATTGTCTGCACTGGTGGTGTCTGTGTCGGTGCCTTTTTTTTTTTTTAAAAGTCAACATTACATTGAGTTTGTATTTATTTGTGTCAATGTAGAGCCAGCGATAAGAAACGTAACCTGGCACAGCAAAAAGCCGAGGCCCAGAGGCGACTCTATGGGCACGGCTCCATAAAGAAACTTTCGGCTGCCTCATCAGACTGGGAGCGACAGCGTCACACCCTGGAGCGAAGGCGAGAAGAGCTTGTGAGTTATAAAGACAACACTTCATTTAAATTTAGTTTTTGATTTGGCAAGCAGACAATTACAAGGTTCTTCCAGAAAAGTTACAGGACTGGTGTCACAAAAGAATGTGCTTCAGGTTTTCCATGTTGAAGTAATCCCCCTGTAGTCTAAGGCACTTTCCCAGCCTTCTCTGCCAGGCCTTCGTGCACTCATGAAAGGAGTTTGTGCGATCTTTCAGAGCTCCGTCATCACGGCTATTTTGATGTCATGCATGTTTTCAAAACGGGTCCCTGTGATGATCCGCTTTAACTTGGGAAAGAGGGAAAAAAATGATACCAGGTTGGGTGGTTGGGGCGCTTGCTCCATCTCTGCGATGTTCTTCTTGGACAGGAACTGTCAGATGCTCAGTGTGCTGCGAGGAGGTGTTTTGAACTGTTAAAGCAGCTCTCGTCTCCTCTCACACTAAACAAAATCGACACCGCAAGATCTCAGCATAGTGTGCTGGTTGATAGTACGGCTGATATTGGAACGGACAGTTCTCAGTTTGGGTTTGAAATATGAAAATTCTCGTAAACCACCTCGCATGCTTTTCTCCACTTTATTGGCTACATACTCATGTGGAACATCAACTGTGGTCAAGCAAGTTTCAAAAGCTTCAAATGTAGATTGTTCACTCAAAGCCACTAAGTATTCCAAAGTTGCTCGAACCTACGAACTTTTCACAAACACATCATTTTCGTCTACACTTAAAGCCTAACTTTTCCAAGACAAGTGTACTACATTTAAACTATATTTCAGTCAGGGAGTTTTTCTCATATAGATGAGCTACAATTACTTCACGCCTCGCACCCTCTTTGATTTGCATTTGAATGAGCCACAGTAATCAGTGTGTAGTACGAAAGGGTATCCTATATTTAAAAAGCTGCATGAAGTTTGAAGTGCACATTCAGGTGTCGCCCTGTTGAATGTACATGTCACTTAGTTCTCACTGTTACTGGCGCGAGCCTCTCCTCCCTTCCGACTAATACCTATATTAAAAGCTATCAGTCGCAAGTAGGCATTTTAAGTGACTTATACTATGAGGCAGAATCCCACCTGAATGAATGAATCTTTTTGGCTTTTTTCCTCTCCTAGAAAGAACGATTGGCGCAGGTCCGCAAGCAGATTTGCAGGGAGGCGCATGAAAAACAACATCTGGGCAACTACAGGTAAGAAATAGGCAAACTGTCAAGGACTTTTGCCTCCAGAAGCATCACCCATAATACTTATGTCTGCTCCACTTGCAATTATGGGGCCTTCGGATTTCTTTGATGTCTCCAAGGAGAAATCACGCCGCGCCAGAGCGACTAAACAGGCACGGTGATACATGAATGATCATTTGTACAAGTCAACATTATATAGAGTAGAAAAAAGAAAGGACGACATTTACGGCAAGTTTCTTTCCTGTGCAGCACGAAATAGGACTCAATATGTGTGTTCTACCTTCTTGCTGCAATTCATCGTTTCGCCCCCGCACTTGTATTATACTGTACTCTCTGCTATCTCTGTGGACCTTGGAAGACAGCGTGCCATCTCGACAGAGTTACCTTACAAACGCATCAGATCCCCCGCTCAACGTGACTAAACATCAAGTTCTGATGTACAGCTTGGGTGCTTGGAAAGCCTTTCTGCTTCTGTCTTTCTTTTACATAAAGTGTTCTGTGAGCAACATTTTCACTTGAGATAAATGAAAGCTTGAGTTTGTTTCATGATGGTGATGTTTGACGGCCTCAAAACCACTTCTGGCTGTCGTTTGAAACGCTATTTCATTGTATTGTAAACTGGAATTATGTGACTCCTTTGAATATGAAGGAAGCAACACTGGTTCCACAGACAGTAAAATGTTGCCCAATTTTTTTATGCTTGAAGTCAAATCTGGACTCCTCCTACATTGTCATGAAACGTGAGATCTAAAAGTGTTATCTCACTAAGCGGCTAATGTGTGCAAATATTGAATTTATCAACTTTTCTGATGAAAACCAGGGGGGTCGCCTGTGTTATTAGCTACAGTGATGCCTAGAGTTTGGGAAAGTATTTGCGAAAGACAGATGTTGGGATAGCATCTATCTGGGATAGTATTGTGCAGACTATTTGCCACTCATTTGCGACTGGGACTTGGGACTCAATGCAAAAAAATGTGCGAACCTTCCCCAGCAATCAGTTTTTTACTATCCCCTGTCGAAGATGGATTTTGATAATATGGATATACTTAAACGCTGGTGCAGGCTGGTCCTTGTCTTCAAATTTCACTTTTATAAACTACTTCACCATATTCTTGCTATACGCCTTATTGCCTTCCTCTTTGTGCCTTGTTTCTCCCGGCATGATGATCAATGTGGAGAGGAGTTGCTGATATTAAACTGAGCGGCAAATGCTTGTGTGAATGCTACACACAAATGCATCGACCTACAGTATATTGGAACTATGATCACGTGGTCGGTTGGTCAAGTGGTGAATAAAAAAAAGAACTGTGGGGACACGTCTTAGGACCGTTTACAAATGGTTCTGACTGGATTCGCACGAGAAAAAGTTTTTGCAACATGTAAAACTCTCAGCCAACAAATTTGCTACCTTTTGTGAACCCTGACGACACCCAAACTGCTATGCAAGCAAGCATTTGCCGCAGTGAGGTACGGGCTTAAGGAACTATTGTGTTCAAGACTTTTGTAGTGCAAACATCGCCTCAGTCAGGCAACACAAAAAGGGTACAGTATGTTAACAAGAACTGTCTGTCGTGCAGTGGTTGCACGACAAATTACATAGTTCTGTAACTGTTCTCAAATTTGGCCCCCAGCCAACTCTTACTATTGTGCACTCAAATAAATCTGTCACCCCCTCAACACACGTGCGCGTGCCCCCCCCCCCACATGCACACGCACTACACATCAAATACAGTAAATCCTATTGTATGCCATCATGTACAAAGTAATTTTTTGCAATGCAAGATGGCATCTCAAACAGTGTGTATGTTCATATTCCAGTTTCAAAATGCAATCAGGCTGTTTGCAAATTCTGTCTACAAAAAAAGTTTGTGTGTGTGTCCCCTTGTTCCCCACGTCAACATTTTAAAAACAATATGCTCTTCACACAGAGCCGTGCAAAAAAAGCATAAACACACTGTGACTGGTATACTGTGCCAAAAAGCCCATTTTTAATACTCGACTCCAGTGTTACCCAACCTCTCTTGAGTCAAAGCAAATATTATGTATTAGAAAAATGTAAACATAAAAATATATAAGTATAAAAAACACTAACCCTAAAAACCTGAGTATGCAGTATCTACTGAAGTAATAATGATTTTGATGAATTTACTTAAAATGTAACAAAATCCCTACTCTGTGTTTGTGTTAAGGATTTGACAATGTGTCTGCTGCCCACGATAAGTTACACTGTCAAGCTCATTATCTTAGGTGGCACACACGCATCAGCCCTGAGTTGAAGTACCAACATTGAAAGAATTTGCTTTTTTACCCAACTCATGGACCATTCTCGTCTTCCAAACTTGTCTAATGCACCTGATGAATGGACATAAATTTAAACACAACAACTTATAGAATGTCTCCCCAAAAGAAAAGGATGTTATTTTTGTTTATATGAGTGTATGCATCATGGTCAGGTTTCCCAGTATTTTTTTTTTGTGTGTGTTATTTGCGATCTTACACATGAAGTTATTTATCAACAGAGGGATTCCTTTGCATTCAAATGGTGACCTGGCACAAAATTGGAGTCTGATGACTGCATTGCTTTGCATTTGTCTGTTCTAAATCAGGTGCCGACGAGCCAGCTGGAGTGTGTCATCGTCCATTTAACATCTCGTAAGATGGGTACCTGAAAGACACTATTGCTGAAATGAAGAGTCTGATGTAAATGGCGTCTGAATCATCTAGTCCAATTGGAAGCTTGTAGGGAGAGGATAATGTCAGCAGCCTTTATATTAAAAGTATTGCAGAGTCATTGGGATAATGAAAATTCCATATGTTCAGGGAAAAAAGGTGCAACACACAGCTGTTAACATCCACTATTCAAGTGGTGGACTTTTGCCGTTCACTCATGATTTATGGAGCTTTTAGAGAACCAACAACTACAGACTTCGCTCAGCTATTATAATTTACGTTCACTGCTAGAAAGACACTTTTAAGTGCATTTACAAAGAACGGACAAAAATGTCGCCTTGATGGGCTGCGAAAAAGATGATTTCATAATACTGTATGGGATTTAAAAGAATAATATACACTTCAGTCTTCCAGCATGTTTTTTTTTTCTTCTTGAAAAAAAAAAAAGATATCGCGGTGAAGTTTATATGTGAATTTGTACAATATTTAAACATGGCTTGCATCTCATAGGTTGACTACAATGCTTCAAAGAAACATTTTAACGTTCTAAATTGTCAAGGATTAGAATTGAGTGAGGAGATTTGCTCGCATAAAATTCCGAGGTGCTGAGGCAGATGACGATCTTTCAGTGTTAGGTTGTACCGACGGCCGGCATGGAACTCCGGCTCGATAAAAAAGAAACAATTCCCTTTTTCAAGAGTCGACGCAGCTCTTGGACTGTTTCAGATCTTTGTACTGTCACCAATTAACTGTTGACTGAGACATATTTTATTAAGCAGCCAAGACAGAGACACATGTAACACTTTCAGCCTGATGCTGGAGCTACATTGCAATTAGCGGTGGTTATATTTTCCGTTTGATGAATATTTCTCCTCTCTATACCTTGTAGCGGGCACAAGAGTATCACAAGATCAAGTCTTTTGTGATTTCCCAGGGTCTCGTGAGACTTGATGAGCGTTGTCGGTTCGTTGGCTGGGTTTTTGTGCTACTTTGGGGGCATATTTTTCCGATTTTGTTGTTTATTAAACGACAACTTTAGGGGTATTCAAATTTAGATTAATTTGTAATCTATATTCAGATTACATTGGGCCAAAGAAAGACAGGAGAGTGTTCTTGTATCCGTGACCAAGTCCAGTTTGACTCGACACGTTGACACTGACCATGCTACAGTTTTGATCTAATGGCTGAACTGATGACTTCGGAAACGTTGGGTGATGTAGTCTCAGGATAAGCGGGCTGTGGTTTATACATTTTCTTTAATCCCCTCAGGCCTAACACAAACACTGGCCGCTGTTAGTTTAGTCTCGAGGCTTTGGCGGATAGCTCAGTGAAAATATGTGTGAAGAATGACTGACGTTTGTACCATATCTTATCTCAAGGTTTTCACTCGTTTGCTTTTTTTGTGCTACTCACATTTCTTCGCCCGCGTCATTATTTGACACCGTGTTAATAGATATGAATGTATTTGTTTGCCACTACTTGTGTCTGTTTTAATATGTTTTACATTTGTCTCACCTGATGAGCCAGAACCTCAAATTCTTCTGGTCACACTGCATGGTCTTTTATAAGCCCTCGCGAGCCTCTCCTTGTCCTCGCTCCGTATACGCACCCTTTGTTGTCACCCCTTCTTCCACATCTCTCCTTTGTGAACTACTCTTTCCGTCTCAGAGTGTCAGAAGTTGTTCTCTTTTGCTTTTCAGCTTCCTATCCGCCTTGCATTGATGACCCTTCTTTCTCCCTTTTGCTGCGCTCCACCCTCACTATCCGTGCTCTTCTCTCTCTTTGTGTATGTGTCTCTGTGGCCAACAGACGTATTTACCCCCCAGACGACAAGCTGCTGTTGGAGAAGTATGAAAGCCTGCTCTCTTCCGCCTTTCAGACCTTCCTCGCTGGGCGAGCTGCCTCGCTTCAGAAGGAAATGAATAATCCTCTGAAACAAATGAAGGCACGTATCTTGGTGGCTGACTGACTGTCAAATCACAACACATCCACAATTTCACGCACACGTACACTTTGGATTACACACACAAACACCAATAGCAGCTTCCACATGCAAAACACAGATGATAAGAAAACCATGAGTTTCTATTTTAGGATGCTGGAAAGCTAGTCATGTGCGGGTAATGCCAAAATTGTGAGTTATTAGTTTTTTTTTGCCTCTTTTTATCTGACACTTTTTCAATTCTTTACATCCCCATGCATGTCTGCACCTACGCAAGCTTTTAAAGTCAAGGAGACACAATCCACTTGCCACATATCATGTTTCTTTTTCTTCCTGTTTTATTTCCCCTTTTTGTTACTCTTACTGAAAACTGAAAGGGCTTCAAATTTGATAACTAATAGTTAACGATGAGAGTGAATGGTGAATAGTTTTTTTTTTTGACAGTAGAACTGACACCACACAAAGTAATCTGAAAAGACTTGAGAGAGACGTCATGTGCAACGATTGCAGCTTTTGTTGAAACTCCCACCTCTTGCCTGTCACATGTTGTATTTTAGAATGTTATTGTGTTTGAAGGCGGAATCTCAGAAGATTCTTTTTTTTTTTTGTACAGATGCCAATCAAGAGCAAGCAGAGGAAATGCGCACATTTAGTCAACACACATAGATGCGATCTTGTTCAAAGTGTGAAAGGATGGAGATGAGTCAAGAAGAACAAATGAGGCGCTGCAGTCAGATAATCGTGTCACAGTGTGACAACGGGGCTGTCCCATTAGGAAGGACAGCTTGTGAGAGATGGGAATTTTCGCAGGTTACAATTAAGACAAGATCTGTCTTATCATGACGCAAACATTCAGCAAATCACTTTTAATGACTTCTTGAGATCACTTTTTTTATCTTTTTCGTGACCTCTTTATTAGTGCTGCTTCACCGTTTTCAGAATGACATTGTTATTTACCTGTCTAATATCATGAGACATCATCAGTACAATCAGTTTAAGATGATTATGCCAATCTTTGTGTCTTTTTTTTTAATCATTCAATTGTAATTTTTTTTTTGCCAATCCACGTGGCCCTAATACTCTTCTGGAATATGTTACCAAAAAAGCCAAACATCTGAATATAAAATCAAAATCATCTCCATTTATTAGATCAAGTACTATTGTCCCCTCAAGGGTGGACTGATTTACATTTTTGGAGTGAAAGTATCAATATGACCGTGGCTACATTGTTCAGTAATTTTTCATTTTTATTAGTATTATTATTTTTCTTTTCTATGTTTTAATTTAGAACAAGAAAAGACACTGTAATGTATTTCAAGAAGGTACCAACTTTGTGCCCAGTGTTCAATACCATAAGCCAGAAACAGAACGGTGATACAGTATTACATTTTTAGAAAAATTCCCTTCAAGTCTTGACTTGACATATGTTATGTACTGTGCAAGCCACAACTTGACTGGCTGGCGTACAACCGCAAGCAGTAATCTAAGTTTTATTACAGTGGAAATAAATGGAGAAATTAATGTCCTGTGTCAATGTGGAGGCCAGGTTGTAGAGGCAGAGAATGTCACGGTAGAAGCTGCCAATAACCGATCTAAAATACTGCTCTTTCAACAAACCTCAATAAGCAAAAGGTTTGCTCCGAACATAATTGACTGCACTTTTGCTCTTCTGGTGTAAGAAATGCGCCGGACAATAAAATGTGTGAACTTTTTACCCTTGCAATAGCAGAGCACTGCAACTGGACACTAACGTGCACAGAACGCATCCATTTTGATCTGCAAATGGCCATCTATGTAAAAAAAAAAAAATGATTTGAATTAATTTTAGATTGTGCGGGTGTACACAGTGTTTTTATGTTGACAATAAAAACTGCTAAATATTGTGGAATATTATCCCATATTAGGCATTACCTGCTTGCAGCATTTTGCTTCACCGTTTTGTTCACCCATTGTCGTTCCTCTGTGGAATAATACTGGCAATAATAACCTGACATCTGTATTTTGGAATTTGAAGTGTGCATACTCTACCTAAAGAGTAGCAGTTTATCTATTGTACATTGATTTCAAATGATGCCCGTGAGAACGCACATAATAATTAGAGGAAAATAAAACCCTCAGAAAAAAATTCCCTTCACATGCACAAACCAGAGGCCCTTTTACACCTCCAAAAGTGCATTTTAAATTTGAAGTAAAGTCTCTTTCATTTCGATGTGAGTGGCAAATGAGAGCTTTTTCATGCTGCTAATAGTGAAATAACATCACAGTCACCTTTGCCTGCATTTCATCAATGGCCAAATGGCAAAAGGATGAGTAGATGGCCATGGTTGTGAACTACTTTTGCTACATTTAGCTTCTATCAGCATTGCCAGCGAGCACTACATGTCCATCTAGGGCTTTTTTTTTCTCCTCTACCAGTGCTTGAATTGATCACATGTGACTTTGTATGTTCCACTACATTTGAAACGTTTCCTCAATAGCTGATATTTCTTCTTGCGTAATACAAAATTCAGCTTCTTCATTTAGTTATCATCCATCTGATGTTTTTTGTTTTTGTTTTTCTATTTGTGTTGAAGTATAGGAGGAGGACATCTTGGATTTGCTGGAGCAATGTGAACTGGATGACGAGAAGCTGATGGGCAAATCCTCAAGGCAACGTGGCCCGAAGGTGCGTTAGCGAGAGAAGGAGACATACAAACTGGGAAAGATGAGGGAGAATAGAGGCCACTTGCCTCCAGGGACCTTGAGTTAAAGTACAAAGATGGCGAGTTGGGGAGGGCAGTAGGTAGGCAGGTGCATGGATCTAATGCTCACAGCGGATGTGATTCCGAGTCCTGTGTTTGGCTCAAGAGGAAAGAATCGCAGAGGACCAAAGAAAAGGACCCGAGTGCCTCAAGGGGACAGCTGTCAGACCGCCTACTTTTCTCGCCACACTATCTTTCTATCGCGCTCTTTCTCTGTCACATGCCCCTCCATGCCCCCAAGATTTCCCCCGACAGCACATTACTCCCTCCATCACCTTGCCTCGCTCGCCTCCCTTCAACATACACCCCCCGCCTGCTCCCCGATTTGCTTCCCGCACATCTACATCCATTCCTCACTTGAGGGCTAAATTGGCTGGAACACTCACTCGACAGGGCAGTTCAGTGATGCATTTGCTCGAATAAGGACTTGTTTAGACACAATCGCTGTTGTCCAAGTTCATTTGGATGGCGTCACTTTCGCTGGTGCCGAATGTGCGGAGAGAGACATTCAGAGCTGGGGAAAGAAAGAGCCATGACGGGTAAATTTACTCCATGGGGTGTCGTGCTCACATGCCATCTGGTGAAAATTGAACCAAAGGCTAGGAAAAAAAAAGAGTGAGAAATAGTGATTGGGGACATGATTTTTGAGAAGGAAAGGAAGAGGCACTAGACCAGGGGTGTCAAAGCCAAATGGACGGAGGGCCAGATAAAAATTTTTGCTGCAAGCCGAGGGCCGGACTGATCGAATGTTCATTGAAAATTTTAAAAATAACCACATATTGTTTATTGAACCAAATTTAATTGACTGAAAACCTAACAAATACATTCCAATACGGTCAGATAAATAAAGCAACATTTTTTTATGGCTATGTCAGTAAACTTTAATTTTCAACAGGCACAAAAAAATTTCCTTTGTATAAAAATACCCATAACATGAATGAAAGAAGCCGATATTATTCAAGGCACTATCACTAGTCCATATTTTCTCTTTTAGCAAAAGTAGGCTAAATTTACTTAAAAGAAAAACAAATAATAGTGCAGTAATTTTCGATCATTTACTCGAATAAAATATTTTTAAAACATAATTGGATTGAAAAACAACAAAATAAAGTGCAAAAATGTATAAACCAAAAACAACACTTTCTTCAAGAAGTAACAAGCAGCGAAAGCAAATATTGCACTTTAATTTTGAACTGAGTAAAAACTCTTAGTATGTGATTGCACAGTATATTATAA